AATGTCGATGTATACAAAACCCTCAGTTTAAGAGTTTACACAAACTTCCAATGACGATGTATACAAAACCCTCAGTTTAAGAGTTTACACAAACTTCCAATGTTGATGTATACAGAACCCTCAGTTTCAGAGTTTACACAAACTTCCAATGTCGATGTATACAAAACCCTCAGTTTAAGAGTTTACACATACTTCCACTGTTGATGTATACAGAACCCTCAGTTTAAGACTAGTTCCAGTCTTCCTGGATCGTGATGTTCACAGAATTAAGGAATTATTCCTTTCATTCTGAGAACTTCCTTTGTGAGACTTTTCAAGTAAGAGAGCTCGTTCTCCAGCTTCTTCATTTTCTCTCTGAGTTCATTGTTTTTCTCTACCAACACATTCTCCTCGGTCTGAAGACACTGGGCTTCTAACCTTTTCTTGATACGATAACGTGTTGCTGCTTCTTTGTTCTGCACCTTCTTTCGGTCTCTCCTTCTCGAGTCGGTGTCAACAGACTTAGAAACACAGTAATTTTGTTCGTTTTTAGGTCGAGGAGCGCGTCGACGACGGTGGGTCGATGAGACACTGGGATGGACAGATTGCGAACTTGAAATTACTTCGGATGTTTTGAACTCCTGATTTCCGATGGAACGTGCGAATGGAATCTGTGGGTAAGCTAGAATTTGATTGGCATCAGTCACAAGAAAGCAAGCGTCATCTCTGTGTTCTTCTTTCGGACCGTGTCCTTCTCTAGGGAGAATAGCCTCCAGTATTTCCGCCGCTGTGGGTATTTCGTTAGACTGATCCGAAGCGTCTAGCCGAGGGAAGAAGAAAGACCGTGCAGGGGAGGATCGGCCAGAAGAACAGGCTGTTGAGGGTGGTGGACTGTCTAAAGTTACAGGGACACACCAGCTGTACGGCTGTTGTTGTTGAATTATATCAGGGGCTTGACCTACAGGAGAGTCCGGAGGTGTTTCTCCGGTGGATCTTGTGAACGTAATCCCATCCATGGTGGATTCTATACGTGGATAGTTAAGTAACTCTTGGCTGGGAGACGTTATTAAAAATCCACTCCTGTTATAAGTGTTGTCTACCTCTATGATAGTTGTCGGCTGCGGAATCGAGGACTGTAGGTCCTCCAGTACAGTCAGGTCTACCTCTGTGTTATCCCACGTTTGACTGTGTAGGATTCCTTGATAATGAACAATGAAATCAAACTAAGTTAATAAATAATACAAACAAACAAATATGTAAGTATTCACTGACTGCAAATAGAAATTATATGAACTGCTTTGAATGTAAGACCAATAAGCTATGAACTGTTTTAAGTGTAAGACCAATAAGCTATGAACTGTTTTAAGTGTAAGACCAATAAGCTATGAACTGTTTTAAGTGTAAGACCAATAAGCCATGAACTGTTTTAAGTGTAAGACCAATAAGTTATGAACTGTTTTAAGTGTAAGACCAATAAGCTATGAACTGTTTTAAGTGTAAGACCAATAA